GTGGCTAAAATAAGTAAAAGTTTATTGCACAATAAGAAATAAGGTAACAGTTATGTACAAGGTCGTCACAAGTCAATCCAGTAGTCAGTGCTACTACTAGAAGGTCAGAACCACATACTCCACAGAACCCAGCTAGAATATTTAGCCACTCCTCCACGAAGGTTCCATGTGGCACAAGGTCGGGTTTAACCAAAAATATTCCCTTTCAAACCCACATACACGCATTCAGGGTCAGTCAACCTCCCTGAATGAGACTCTGCCCTTCAGTGGAGCCTCATCTGGGTTCCTCTCTGCTCAAAGGCAGAGAGTTTGTCTGTTTAGTCGAAAAAATTTCAGCTAGACTCTGTAGTCCATTGACTTACAGATACTTATAGGTAGTTACTACCTATGATATAGTCATCCATGGGGGTGACAGATTATTCCATTACATCACTTTCTAAGCAGACCTTGTAACAGGACCAGTAAGTATTCACCTGACCATTTTTTGCTTATGTTCTTTCTTCCTTACTTTTTCATGACAATTTTAAGAAAGCCTTGTCTATTTTTCTTTTTCTTTTCTAAATTTGAATAGAGCAAGGGCTGCTTGAATGTTTTTTGACTACTGCCAGGATGACAGAAGATCACTAGACATTGCATCAATTTGTTTCAGTTATATTTTGTGCATAGATATCAAAAATCAATAAGCTCATGTTTTTAACATAATCTTCTTCTTTGTCAATACACTTAATTTAGTTATGAATATTAATCACATAGATTGGACACTCTAATGAAAATTTCAGATCAAAATTCAGCTAATAACTATATGCCAGATTATGAATTTACTGATCTAGAAACAAGATTGCAAACTGTATTTTGAATTGCAGCAATGCTTTGAAGAATTAGTCAAAGAGATTATAACACCCAACTTCCAAATCTTGCATAGACATTGCTTTTCTTTTATAAATAGTTTCAGACTTACATTTGTTCTTTCTCTTGATATCTTCATTGTCAATACATTAAGCAATTATTTACCTACACTCACATTCAAAGAATAATCAGCAAAAGCTTAAGTCTTCAAGTCTTATCATTTCTTTTGTGTTTGATTTTCAAAAGAGTTCATATTAAATTAGTTGAATCTCCAAATCAAGCAGTGTATCTCATACAAAGGTTTTCCATTTCTGATTTGTTGTGCGGTGGTGTAATGGATATCAGATGTGAATGTGAAATTGGGAAATGTATGAATCAATTTCCCAGCTATAAGTTAAATAGTAGAACGTCATTTTTATTCTAAAAAATTGCTAATGCAATATTCATCTACTCAAAAAAGAAAAAAAAAAAAAGAATTATTCTTACAATCCAGAATATCTTTATCTTTAAGGGTTGATAGGTCATAAAAAATCAATCCAAAAAAAAAAATTTATTTAACAAGACAGTGTTAATTTCCATTCAGAAAGTTTGAATACACAGAAAAATATTTGCTATCTCATATGAATTTGCTAAAAAATTATTAAAAAATGATGTCTGAAAGGTAATTAACAAGATTAATTAACTTTCAGGTTAATTAATAAGGAATTAAAGAAGATGGACACTGTTTAATTAGAATGATAATTAACTCAATGAATAATATTTTAGTTATTTGTACAACACAAATGTTTATGTGGTTGGTCAATGATGTAAATATGTTCTATAGGGTTTTAGTTTGGCACAGGGACACAAAAGTGGTGCACCCAGAGATGATCAAACTAAAGTAATGATGCTATCAATGTTTAGCAAACAGTTCTTTCATTGAAAGATATGTACCTGAATAATTATGTTAAGTTATTGAATGAGACGGTAACAAAATTTAGTAACATGACAGCCAACAGCATAGAATAAAATTCTAATGAAGCGGCAAGGAAAATTTCCATTAAAGATTGATAACTGTATGAACCAATTAGCCAGTTTTCTTTTAATCATTTCACCCAAGAAAGGCAATAAAAACACTAAGATGCAAGTGGTTACTTAGAGTGAAGGAAACTGAGAACATATTGATAGAGGACAATAGAAAAAACAGTGTTTAGAGTATTCATTATGTTGAAAAACCATAATAATCTCTTGAGGAATTTGTAGGTTGTTGATTTAACAGCCTACAATTTGCTGATCTGAAAACCTGCAATTGACTTGTTCTGCATCACACATTGTTTTCCATTCTTATAGGCATTTCTTTTAATGATGCACTAGAATAGTTTTCTATCAGAGATGTTAGGAGCCATTCATTTTTCTTTTCTTTTTTTTTCTAATATTCTCTTTAGCATAATGCTTTCTCCTAGACTCTTTTCATTAAAAGATATAGATCTAAATAATTAACAAAGATATAGATCTGAATAATTATGTTAAGTTATTGAATGAGAGGATAACAAAATTTAATAACATGACACACAGCAACAGAGCAGCAATCCTAATGAAGAAGCAAGGAAAATTTCTCTCAAAATCACAAGATAACAGATAAACTGAAATACACATGATGTATTTATCAACACTTGTTAATGTGAAAACATTGACTTAGATATACTGTATATGGATATTTATTAATGTTAGCTCAATCCCCAATCATCCTATCCTCATGTTGTACCAATCTTCTAAAAGAATGGAACTTTCCTGTCTCAGTGCACCATATTAAGATTCTTTGAAAGTTACCGATTGAAAACTGACTGTTGTAAAATTTTACAGTCAGTTTTCAATCAGTACCTGAAGATTGCTGTGTGAATGAAACTCAGTCGTACCAACAATGAGGAAAAAATGTATATTATTAATAGTATAAATTTTTTACTGTTATTTTACATTAAGCACTTTCATTGTGCAATATTTTATACCTATATTCACATACATACTTACATACATACATATACAAATAAACTATGTGCTTGCCCAAAGGTTTTCTGTAACTGTCAACCACAATCTTCAGGCAATCTTGCAGTTGTAGAAAGCTTTAGGGAGAGAAGAAAGTTTTTATATTATATGTTTGCTTTATAATTTTTTACATTGAGAACTGTATTTTTTACAGCATTTGTGCTTTGGTGTAAATTTTATGATTATATTTAATAATCGTATATATATATATATATATATATATATATATATATATATATATATATATATATATATATTCAACTTATATACTTTTTTCAACTTTACTCATAGAGGCCATAGACCAACATATCATACCATTTTGGAATCAGGCTAAGTCCTTGAGCAAATTAAAATATTTCTGGCTGGTTCCAGAATTGCAATCCTGAAATTTTGGATTCCAAGTTTTCATTACTGCAATTGATTTTCGTATTTTTTATGTGATTTTTGTAACAAACTTTTTTGTACCAACAAAAGTCACCCATGAAATAAAAATAATTGTTTGTATGGAAAGTAAGGACATATGTACATAATGCAATACTTAAATGCAGTGATCAATTTTGAGTTCTTCTGTAGTTTATTGTTGCCTATTGCATATGGCAGCAGTAACCTCCACCAACAGAGGACCAGATTGCAATCAAAAGAGCCAAGGCTACAGAGAGGAAAAGAAAATTCCATGTAAATGAAAAGCCAGATCAAATGACAGCTAAGAGAGCTTCCAATGCTGAGAATATGCAAAGACTAAGTGACTCCTGAACAAAGCAATGACCCAAACAAAATCCCTCCACAGGAGCTAGCTTAAATGCCCTGTTCTTCTCTTCTTTCTCTTGCAGTTTATTGCAGTTCTGTTTTTTGGGCATTTCTGCCAATTACATTTAACCATGACCAATTACTCTACACACACAGATATATATATATGTGTGTGTGGTGTGCATACGGCTGAGTGATTAAAATGTTGTGACCATAAAACCTGGCTGGTTTTAGTCTCATCATAGTTGATTTGTCAGGAAGGTGACTTCTTGATTGAACTGGGAAGATGATCTCACATTGTGGTACTGTTGGAAAGTGCTTGAAAAACCATATCACAGGTTGAACCAAGTCTTGTTTAGAAGCAAGCAATGTGCTAGCATGGAGTCACAAGTTCTTATGACCAAGGTTTTGAGCATACTGGCCTTATTCAAACTGTTGATGAAGTGCACTCCCCACCCCCACCAGAAACTGTAACTAATGTCTACTCAACATAGTTGCAGTATAAACCACAAGTGGCCTCTGTGGATGTTGAACAAACACAAAAATGTGCCTGAGCAGGTGTTTACAGCATCACTCCTATCTGCCAACCTGGCAGATAGGAGTGCTTGATAATTAGTAACTGGCCATTTATACATACATACATACATACATAAACTTATTCAACGATAAATTTTACTACTTTATTGTTGTGTCAGAAACCTACCACCCCTCTTGAAGATGAACTTGTCTGCGAACAAAGACGTTAAATGGCGGCATGTCAGAAGACAGAGAGACGGAGCAGTTCTTAGCTGAGCTAGTCTTGACTACTCAGGCGATTTCTGTACCTTTTTACCATACCAACCTATTAAAACCCTTTTTATTGTTACGTGTTATTTGGCGTTTATCTCTACTAACCCCAAATCAACATCATAACATTTATATATATAAAGTAGTAAAATTTTAATTAATTTAATTTTTTTTTACTTAGCCCAGTCATTTATTAAAACATTGGATTTATAAATATTTTCATCTTTTCTCCTTATCTATTTAATCTATATTTTCAACTCCACAGTATTTATGTAAATAATATTTCTTTTTGTCAATGCCCTTAATTCAGTGGTGAATATTCATTATATAGATTGAACATTATGCAATTATTGATCTACTGTTATATCTAAGTTGAAAATGAGCTTAAAACTGAACTTTGCTAGCTCAGCAAATTTGGTATATTGAATAAATTTTAAGATCTGCATGTAATATTCACCTAATGAAGGCTGAAGAACTATCCAGCTGAAACAGGAGAAAAGAAACAAAGATATCATTCTTAACAAGTCATTTTGTTTTTATGCCATTTTATTCAAACAATAAAATTTCAGATAAATAAAATTTTGTCACTTATTTTTCAGTGATAAGTGGAACTGACCTACCTGGCCTGGATTCAACAGGTCTGAGTGATCCATATGTAATAGTGGCTATGCAGCCTCGGTGTTTATTCAAAGAACTCAAGCCAAAGAGGACGAAAACTGTTCCACAAAATTTGAACCCTGTTTTTAATGCATCTTTCCAATTGTGAGTTCATTTTTTTTTTATCTATTAAATAGTAAATTAATTTTGAAGTCACTCCATAACTATAACTATAGCAATTGAAAGGTAGCCTCTGTTGATGCTGCTTTTGTTGCTGACCACTGCTAATGGCTGGCCAGTTGTGTAGTCTCCCACATTCTGGACATCCATCACTAATGCCAGCCTGATCAGAACTGGCTTAATGGGTGAAAACAGGGTTAGCTTAGTAGTCAGTCAGTGGTGCAGAAATGGTTGGTATTTTAAAAGTGAGGAGCCAGACAAAATTAAGGTCTGATTTTGTCATATGAGGATGTCAAAGTCAGCACTTTTGTTTGAGTTAAGGAATTGGGTTTTTGACAGACTATAACAAATATAACTTATTCAAAGAAAGATAACTGCATTAGTTTTATTGTTCTTATTCAGGATCAGAACTCTTCTTTTGGTGTGGTGAATAATATATAAAGAAGAATTTTAAATTGTATTTGGAGAAACAAGCAACAGGAAACCACTTCACTATCTTCCCCAAAATACTATGTCAATACATATATAATAAAGAGTCTGTGGAGAGCCATAATCATCTACACACTGAAGGGATATGTTATTAAAAAAATGCTCACCAAAAAACTGCTAATATTAATAAAGAATATATGAGACAATGACAAGTCCTCACTCCTGTGAAGTAGAAGACCATAGCCACACCATGCTAGTTTTTTTTTTTTTTTTTTATGGTAAGCAATTGCCAGCCCTATCCCCAGCAGTTTTTAGTTCAGAATTATCATTCTAAATAAGTTGCTAACTAAGGTTATAGCCTTAGTTAGCAACTTATTATTAGTTCAATCTGCCTTGCTGGGAAAATATGAAACAAATTCATACCTCTCCCAAAGTTATTGGTATGACTGTGAAAACAATGACCTGACACTCTTTCTGCTGATAAGCATTTAGTCATCAAGGAGAAGGCATTGAAATAGAAAAGAATAAAAACTATGGAACAAAAACATAAAGATGCAAACTAACACATCAGTCTATATCTGATTTTTTTGGTGGGGTATGGATATGTGTCTTGAAGTGGAGTAATGCTTAGTAAGTTAGTTAAAAAAAAATATACTGTGTAGGAAGTTTGATACTGGCGACCCAACTGGTTTTGTATCATAGCCAAGCTTTAATAACAATATAATGAAATGGTACTGTTACTAAAAGTCAACATGACTTTATTCAAACCTAACTGCACAGAGATTTATGGACCAAAATATAAAGGTTTAGTTTGTGTTCTCTGAAACATTACTAACACATGAGTGTTGCATTGCACAGACATTTAAAGTGGATTCTAAGATTTAACTTCTGATAAGGGAGATTCTTTGCTTTTTCTTTCATTAAAACACCAGCCCAATTGTTCATCTAAGAGGAAATGAGAAAACCATAACTAGAACTTTCCATATCCAAATATGCTCTCATTAAACATTGTCTATCTAATTTTAGCCCCACCCAACATTTTTTATTTCCTCTATCACTTGTTCCAAATATCACTTCTGCTTCCAACCTCATGCATGACACCTAAGTAAAACAATCTTTTGTTCACTGACCAGTGTTTGATGAACAAGGAAATGTGCAAGAAATTCCTTGGATATAATATAAAAATTCTGACTCCCTATAAAAAAAAAAACAAATTTTTATGCCAAACATAAAAAGTTATTAAGGATAGAATGAAAAAAGAGAACACATGCCTCTTTTATCCCTAAAGTTGAATAAAGCACAAAACAAACAAGACTCAACCACTTAGCAAAATTTAAAATGAATAAATAAAACAAATAAACAAAATTTACATACAAAAGCTTGCACAAAAATTTCCTTTTGTGCGTCTTATACAAAAACTAAGGCAGGATAACACTTCCAGTATATGACAAAAATGATTATTCCTTTTGAAAATAAAAAAAAGGAAAAAAACTTTGATGAAGCAAAAATTGCACAGGTAGAAAATACAAAAGCACACACGCCTAATTTCTACAACAGGATATGAATATTTCAGCAAAAGGGGCTCTGTGGTTTCAACAGGTTGATGTCACTTTATGTAATCTTTTACTAAAAAGTTAAACTTGCAGGTTTTGGTTTTGTCCAAATTCTTCTCTGGAAGATGCTGAAATGAATTTCCTGGGAGTTGAATCTGCCTTCTGGGTTGAGATTTAGACTCTTCTTTCCCCACTGTGATGATTTATAGCCCCTTTGGCTGGACTAATCCTGTGGGTGTTTCAATGCCTTCTCCTTGGTGACTAAATGCTTTCTGCTCTTATCAGCAGATCAGTCTCCTTTTATAAGAAAACAGGAGGCTTCCTGAGACCTTTATTTCGGAATTTATGAGGAGATTAGACCATGTCTCTGATTGGTCAATAAAATATATTTTTTCCCACAAAAATCTAAAAATTAATCTGCAACAATTCACAAAGAAATGATTTTGGCAGTTCTTTAACTGCTATTTCTAAAAATAGATTTTCACACAACTGTAACAATTTTTTTTACAAATCGTATGATGACCTTGTGATAATGGATGGTAGAACGAGTGGTGGAACAGGTGGTGGTGGTGGTGATGGTAGCAAAGGGAAAAAACTGCTAAGGGCCACAAGAGATAGGAAGTTGTGGAGAGTCATGATTGCCTAAGTCTTGAATGGATGTAGCATATAGAAGAATGAAGATTACTCAAAACTGGGATATGATTCTCAACAAAAAATAATCAAAGACAAGTCAAAATGAATGACAGTGTGAAAAGAAAGAAACTTAAAAGAAAACATGTCTGTTCAGTCAATTTGCTAGTGTACTTCACTTGGTTCATATGAGTGACCCACAATTATAGTTGTGACAAAGTAAACTTTGTAAAGAGGCTGATGGAAAAAGAGTGAGGATGAGATCAAGGAAAGTAAAAGAATTGTTAGAAAGTCTGTGTAAGAAGTTGATGCAGATAGTAAAAAAAAAAATGACAAAGTATCAATGATTATATAAACCAATTGAAAATTAATCCAGTGACCTTCTTTGTTATTTGATATTGATATGTCCCGGAAAGGGATATATTTGTTCAAAGTAGCTAAGTGGTTTTGGACTAACTAACAGGTAACCGTAATGGACTGGTCCTCGTCGTAGTGGTAGGCAATAGGCATAGGCAATAGACATAGTCAATAGGTGTTGTCCATAGGTGTCTGTATTTATAGTTGACACCAGCAAATCATATTACTGTGAGGGGAAACCCAGGTGCATGCATATTCATTTCATCAGATATGATAATTGTATTTTCACCAGAAGAAGCATTTTGTCCTTTTTCATAGCATGGATCTGTCAACTTGATTCAGCATTTAAGTATAGATGAAAATTCAATCTTCACTGCTCTGTGATCAAAGTGCAGGGCAGAGGAACCAAAGTGGTCAGCAGATAACTATCAGTTGACTGGCAGTAGTACTGACCAGGGCAAGAACAACCCAAGATCGGGCTTGGATGGCTGTGTTATAGAGTGACTCGTTACACCTTCTTGGGCTAACATTTTCAGCTGACATGAAGTGGAAAGACTATATTGAATCCATTGCTAGGTCAGCTGATAAGAAAGTTGGTTCACTGTGTTGTGCCAGAAAATTTTTCTCTCCTGAATCCATCTTGCATATCTATAAGTCCATGCTTAGAATACTGCTGCCATATATGGTCCAGAGCACTTGCTTTATATCTAGAGATCCTTGATAAAATCCAAAGAATCAGCACTATTATTGGTCCTGATCTGGCATTTTGACTTCAGTCACTTTCTCACTGCTGTATAGTTGCCTCCTTGTGCCTTTTCTATAAATACTTTGTCATGATTATTGTTTGTATGAGCTCTTCACAATGTTACCTAGACTATATGAATTTAAGCACAGTACTAGACTGGCAATGAGTTTACAAATCATATGATGACCTTGTGATAATGGATGGTGGAACTGGTGGTGGTGGTGGTAGTCTTGGGAAGTTTTAGCAAAGGGAGAAAACTGCTAAGGGCCACAAGAGATAGGAAGTTGTGGAGAGCCATGATTGCCTAAGTCTTGAATGGACGTACAGCACTAAACTGGCAATGAGTTTTCATCACTTTACAGTTGAATTAGTTAGATATAACTTAAGTACTATGACAATAGTTTCTTTTCTTGCACTTCTCGCTTGTGGAACTCTCTTCCAGTCAACTGTAATCTTCAAAAATTTAAATGCAATGTTAATTGCTATCTGCTGTCATCCTGAAGTAACAAAGGAAGAGTAAGGTTTTTTTTAATTCTTCCACACCCCTTGTGTCTCAGTGGTTTTACTGTCTTGCTTGGAGTGAACTTGCTTAAAAAAAAGTTGTAGGATGCATTTGGAGAAGAAGAGAAAAGAAAGAATAAAAAATGCTGAGAAAGAAAGGAAAAAATAATCAGGAAAGATGAAGAAACAGTAGAGAGATAAAAAAAAAAAAGCAATGTTAAAAAATAGTAAAAAAAAGAGATCAAAACAAAAAGAATTAGAGTGAATTGTGAACTTGGTAGATGTTTACTGAATCAAAATTTTGTCTGAATCTGAAATCATAATGATAAATATCACTTGTTGAACTTTCGAGGAAAATCAAAAACTGTCCGTTATTTCTTGTAACTACTGGGCTTTTTCCAGAAAGTGAAGCAAAAAAAATAAAATTAAAAAAAAAGGCCATTGGTTGACTAAAAGAAATGAGAAACACAGACATTAGAAAGATAAATTATTGAGGAGGGAAGGATTTTTCAATAATGTTTCTTCCAATGAGGAAAAAAATGTCTATGTTGCTGTTTTTGAAGTGGAAGATTTTACTATTGATCTGCCATATGACTTTATTTTGCAATTTGTTATTTTATTATGTTGTTTTAGTTTGTTAATAGCTAATTTTTTTCTAGAAAGAAAGTTTTCTTTTCTTTTCTTTTTTTTCTTGATTTCCTAGCACATACAATAGAAAAAGTTATGGAAATACATATAAGTAATTAGAGAGATAGAAGAAATAAGAAATG